TGACAGGAGGAAGTGTTTCTATAGAATAGAGGCTTTGCACCAACACTGATGGCAGCCATGACAGGAGGAAGTGTTTCTATAGAATAGAGGCTTTGGACCAACACTGATGGCAGCCATGACAGGAGGAAGTGTTTTTATAGAATAGAGGCTTTGCACCAACACTGATGGCAGCCATGACAGGAGGAAGTGTTTCTATAGAATAGAGGCTTTGCACCAACACTGATGTGGCAGCCATGACAGGTAGCGCAACAATAGAGTCTTCTTCCTTTGGGAAACTGAATTCTTTCTCATGTAAATCGGATTAGACCAGATTCAATTGGCGTTGTCTACTGTCATGGCTATCATCACGTGATGGTTCAAGGCCTCTATTCTATAGAAATGGTTCTGTAAGGGATGATACATGGCCTCGAAAGAAGATACAGTAATACGTTTATTATTTACTCTCGAAATTAAAGGAAGATCGATTTTAAGAGCGCTCTTTTCGTTATTTAGTGTCCAAGTTCAATTCCTATGCGTATGTTTATGTTGAAAATGTGCTTCTACCTCAGGCTGCCGTTGTACAGCAATGGAAATCTTTTTCATGAAAATTTTTCACAAATATTAGAAACCAATGATTTCACCGCTAATTAAACTCGCCTACGGCGTCCTTCATAGCACCTATTTGTATTTTACTGTTATTTGTACGAGAAGAAACATTTCGAAACCTGCGAGTTAGTAATAAAGAGAGTGAGGACTGGACTCGAGCGCGCGCTCTGCTTTCTACGCCATTCGACGTCATTCAAATGAACAATGACTTCCGGTTCTCGATAAAGAGCAGGATTTTCGCAGCTTTTTTTTCCTTCTGACTTTCTTTCACATGAAAAAATATAAATTCCAAATTCTAAATGTGTTTTGGCCTCTAAAAACAGCTTGAAAACATTACGTTTCCTATTTATCACGTGCTGCCGTCGAATTCCCAGAATGCTTAGTTCTCCCACTTATTGCCATTATGACGTCATAATTGATTGAGTGACACAATAAAGGGATATGATTCGATTTTTTTTAATCAGTTTGAGTTTAGACAGCGAACATGGCGGAACGACAAGAAACGGATTATTACCGTAAGTATTGTACTAAAACAGGCGACTGCGGTTTGCCGTGACTGGATTACTCAGTTTTTTTCTTTTTCTTTGTACAGATATGAATAAACAAAGCTTGATTAGTCAACTCAAGGTAAGTCGAAAGCGAACGAGAAAATCAGAAAAGAATAGTGAAACGAAGGAAAGAAATAAATTAAAGGGAAGTGAATTAAAGTGAAGTGAATAGAAGTGAAGTGAAGTGAAGTGAAGTGAAGTGAAGTGAAGTGAAGTGAAGTGAAGTGAAGTGAAGTGAAGTGAA